TTTACAACATGATAATTCTGTGATTGTACCAAATCCAGAGCTGAGAAAACCTCTTGTGCCCTGCCAACAAATGCGCTGTGTACTAATAATACCCACTTATCTTCGGGCCAACCATGCAAGGCAGCTACTCGCTCGAAATGAATAAAGAAATACTCTGGCTCGGTTTCATTAAATTTAGGAACAAACTTAATTGCATCCTCTATACGGAAATGAGGATAACGTTCCTTTTTGGGTCTCTGCATGAGACGCATCCGCTCATTCTCTGCCTTAAACATCTCCAAGTCTAGTTTACGGCTCTCCAGGTCATACTGGCGGGCCATCGTGACATCCCGAGGACACACGTGCTCTAATTCATCCTCACTCAGCACATGGTGTTCTATCAAATATTCAGTCACTAAAGTACGAATTTCATCCTTCCGTAAGGATGACCGAAAAGGGATGCAATAATGAGCGGCTAACTCACTCCACTGGGCTTTAGTAAGACCGACCAGCGCTTCGGCTGACGGATTATCAACGAAACTTTCAACACTGAACATAATGAAATCACCAAGAAAAATAACAGGCGAAAATAAGCTAGCTAGCTAGATAGGATGTTTTAAACGTGATCAACAGTTGCAAAACCTGTGTTCCAAATCACTACGAAACATACAATTAAAGTAAACACAAAAACAGTAAAATACCATAAATGGTCACCAAGCAAGCAAGAGTCAAATTAACGATTACTTAATTACAACCCAAAGATTACCGAAATGCATTGGATGCACAATTAAGAAGTGACCGTCTTAATGACCAAACTACCCGAGATGTAATGTCAATTGCACAATCAAAATACCAACGGGAACATGCGTTACAACGGCTAATAAAAACACACTAAAAGTGTAACACCAAGGGAATCACATGTTACAAATAGCGAAACAAAATGATTAACAAAATGCTAATTGACAAAATGCTACTTCGCACATATCCTGGTCAGGCCCCCACTTGTTACGGCTGTTATGTCATTAGGAGAATTCAGGGGAAGAGCAGCTCCGCTGTACTCTAATTCCCCTAATGCGGTAGCCCGAATCATAGACGAAAAATCAAAATGCGGCCTGATTTTGAAAGGCTAATACCACGTAACAATATCTGTCTTTGTGTTGAAGTATTCGCTAGCTTATTACGTTAATTCAGTCATTCATTTATCATGTTTCAATGTACTATCATTTATATATAAATTACTTTCATTATGATATTGTAATGCTTTCATAGTTAATATATTACTATTTCATTATCATTTACCAGTCATTTATTATTGACTTGTATTTATTAATAGTCAAAGATTTAATTACAAACTTAATTACAAATTACTTTTATTTATACCTTCACCAACACAAAACAAAATACACGAAACAAAATCAAAGAAAGTCCTGCCTATGCGATATCTTACTAAAATATAAGATATCGCCCTAATCCTATCAAAGAAATTACGAACCCATTTAACAAAAACAAAAGGCAGCAAGATCTTGCCCAGGCCCATGGCAGAGGAGGAGTGGCTGAGTAAGACCCCCCACGAACTCAAGGCAAGACGGTGAAGGGGGGGGGGGGGGGGGGGCGACGAACGCTAATGCTCGAACTGCCTTGTTAGCGTAGTCAACAGTAGTGCTAATTATACAATGATTACCTTTACTGTAATACACTGAATAAGCCTCCAAACTCGGTCAAAATCACCAATCAATTCATACTAACTCTAAGGGTCGGGACCCCTAGTCCCGTGGTGGCGGCTACCGAAGTATTTCTTTTTGTTTGCTCACGAAATGTGATGTCAAACGTGCTACACTTGCCGCGGTGGGGGGTGGGGGGTCCTAGTGATCTGGTGAGCCGGACCAGAGGGTTACCCATATTGGTCCATCGACTGCTATCAGCACTGTAATAGTGGCTGTTTATGTTGGGAGATTCCGAGTCCCAACTATAGCTTCTCCTCGTACTCTTTGGTGGGTGGGTGGAAGGGGGGTGAGGAAGTAAAGATTTCTAATATCTATGATTTCTAGATATTTACTAAGAACACTCAATCCCCTGGCTGATATCTATGGAACTTTACTAGATTCCGGAGGGCAAGAATGGGAATCACAATGGTTCCCGACCTCCCAAACCAGGTAAGGAGAAAAGTCCTCAATCTAGTAAGGAAATGTTACCTGATAAATATGAAAGTCTATCATATCATACATAGTAGTGAAGCCTCTAGATTGTGTATCAATCATGGATATTGATAACTAGCGAAATGGTAGCCTGAGAGTTGAGGTTTCATCATCAGACGAGAGTGACTGTCTGCGTGCAATATGTGACATTCCTGGGGCTTAAATCTCATATTTTCCTCACAAATTGCTCAATCAGTGTAAGGGAATTGTGTTTTTCCGACACCTGATGAGGTATTCTAAGGAGGAACTGTTAGCAGAACTAAAGAAGCTTAATATGGTAGCAGTAAAATGGAACAGTCAACACCAGCTCTCCATCTAACTTCCCCCTAACGGAAGCCGCCTTGCCGCAGTGGGGAGGGGGCTTGAGGTCCCAATGAGCTGGTGAGCCGGACCAGAGGGCTACTCATACTGGAGGGATGCGACAAAATGGCTTCCTGGTGCACTAAGGCCTATGAGAGGGGATGGTGCACCCACCCATAGTTCATTCCATTTTGGACCAGGGAGAACTCTCCCACGTGTTTGCCGTCCCATATTAGCAGGTGACAGGAGTCCTGGAGGTCGAGTAATGCTGCACGCTGCACTCTGCAGCTAGCAACACACTTCTTTGGTCCTCTATTCTGGTTAGATGGGTGGCTTGATCAAGGCCCGGTCAAGTCAATCGGCTGATCAAATATGGTTAGGGTCAAGCAGGCACTGTCCAGTCGGTAGCACATATGTCCTGCAACTACCATCAGCACTGTAATATTGACTATGTATGTTTCCTCACAGCAGTCACTACTGTGGCTGTTGGCAAAATTTTGAGCCCCAACTATAGCTTCCCCTCGTTGGACTCCATAGTGGGTGGGTGGGGGTGAGGAAATGAAGATTTATAATTTTATGATTTCTGCAAATATGCCCATAACTCTGGCGGTGCTTCCGCTGCCAGTTATGGGCATGGAGCCAACACTTGCCGTTATAAGGAAAATGGGCAACGAAGAAAGTGTATGAAGTGTGGTACAACAGGTCAAGATGACAACTGTCCAGATCCAATATGCTGTTACCACTGCAAAGATCATGAAACTTCCAAGCAATGTAAAAGGTATAAGTTTGCAAAAGTATTGATAATAAGGAGCAGGTAGAAAGTTTTGCAGAAGCAAAGTAATGCTCTTTGCACAGGCAGAGGAATCCTGAGCCTGTTCAAAAGACTCTTCATAGAGTCGGGTCTTTGGAGCCATCAGGCAGGGCTCCAGAGGCCACCACATCCACAGGAACCTCTGCTGCTAAACAGAATGCTCCTGAACCAAAGGCTCAGGTCCGTCCTTTGCCCAAGCAAAGAAATCCTGAGCCTATCCAAAGGAAGCCTGTTGAAACTAGGTTCACAGGTAAACAACCCATCAAAAGGTATTCCCAAGATGCTGCAAAGGGACAGCCTATAGGTGTGGGGCAGGCCTTAACCACAGGTGCTGCCAAACACCTTATGAAGTAGTTTATCAACCTGAAGAACTGAATACCCTAATCCAATGGAATTGTCAGAGAATTCATGAAAAATGGGGATAACTGCAACATCTGATAGCTTCATGTAATCCAGTTTGTGTATGCCTACAAGAGATTATGACCAGGGAAAATCGTCCAAATTCCCTGAGAGGATTCCATGTTCAAGCCCATTATGGAACCTTTAATAATGGACCTCATGGAGGAGTAGCAGTGATGGTACATCAGGATATTCCCTTCTAGGCCATCCAACAGCACATGACACTGCAGGTGAAGGCTGTGAGAATAGGCTTGACACGACCTTACCCTTCACATAATCTCAACATAGATGATTTGGTAGATCTACTCGGGCAGTTGCCTCATCCATTTCTACTCTTGGGAGACTTCAATGGTCGCCATCACCTCTGGAGAGACACTTTGTGCAACCCTTGAGGAAGGGCCTTGGAGTCCTTGTTCTCAAGAGTAGATGCAGTTTTACTGAACAGTGATGCGCACCCACGTTTCCAAATTCAAACTGGGACATTCTACAATATTGACCTGTCATCTGATTCACAGTTGAATTCCACTTGGCAGGAGGTGAATGGTATTCCTGCCAATGGAGTGCAGAGATTGCGACTTCAACATGCAGACTGGAATTATTTTAGATCAACTGCAGTATTGTGAATGATTTCTAGTGTGTTCAAGTTGCTGTTAATCACTTCACATCTCGGATTCACCTTGCAGCAGAAGCATCGATTCCCAGAAGTAAGCGGGCAATACCATTGACCTCTGGTACCATGGTGGTGTGATGAATACAAACAAGCTGTCAGAGCTAGAAAAGCTGCATTAAGGCAGTTGAAACGATGCCCAAGCGATGTAACCTTATTCCAGTACAATAAGACCTGAGCCAAGGCCAGACAGACGTCATGGAGGCAGTATGTCTCCTTGATTAACTCTTAACATGGGTATGGGACAAAGTGCGTAAGATCGCTGGAAAGAGCACATCCATATCACCACCTATTCTAAAGATATGGGCATAATCCTCACAGACAAAACTGATGTTGCAAATGAGCTGTCAAAATCCATGGCACTGATCTCCTCTGGAATATCTTAAGGTACGGTTAGACTGACCAACTATTTCGTTGGAATCCAACGATTATCAGCGACTTGGAACCCACCCGCCCATCCGTTTTGGTTATACTACGATAAGAACCACCAGCTCAGTCCACTGGATCGCAGCATCAAAACAAATCGTGTCCGCAGTCCCTCATCAGTAGTTGCGATGGATCCCGCGCTTGTCTCCCTTACTCTTACGACACTTGCTTGCTTCCAAAAGTACAGAGAATATAAAAAGACCAAGAAAAGTAAAAAGAGACTATGGATGAAACCATGGCTACAGAAAAAAAGACCGAAGTGTGTATCACAAGTTAATTGAAGAAACGCGATTGGATGATGGCAGTGTGTTTTATGATTTCCATAGAATGAACAGGCAAATTTTGATGTTTTGTTAAATTTGGTGGCACCCCTCATCCAGAAAGAAACCACACAGTTAAAGGACACTATATCTGCACCGGAACGACTCTCTCTGACTTTGCGTTATTTAGTCACAGGTAAGGACAAATTTCATGTTTTCTGCATATTTAGACCTTTATTTAAAATACTTTTTAGCATTTTTTAATAATTTAATTGAATATTTATTTACATAACCTAAGGCTAATATTATAATGAAATAATATTGTAATTGTAATTCTTAAACATTCAGTATTGGGTATGCTTTTACACAATAATTGATTGGCACAGGATAGTGTTACGGCAGCCGTAAATTCATATGCATTTTCTAGCGTTATGGTAGCATTACTGCGCCTAACCTAACTTAACCTATCTAACCTAACCTAATCCTAACTTAACCTATCTAACCTAACCTAATCCTAACTTAACCTATCTAACCTAACCTAATCCTAACTTAACCTAATCCTAACTTAACCAAACCTAACCTACCCTACCCTAATCTAACCTATCCTAACCTTACCTAACCCAACCTAACATAATTTGAGTGTTGGCGGCTCAGTGCAAGTCGAATGTAAAAAACCTGTTTTTACTTGAATTGTAAACACAATAGGATATATAAACAATATTGACAGAATTAATAAATATATAATTTTACCATATAGGTATGATACTGGGCTAAAGAAGTTGCCATGAAAGAAAATGCTATATCCTTATTCAAGTATTGAACATATTAATTAAGTATACAATTTCTTTAATACAGGTGAAACTCATCGCTCTCTAAGATTCCAATATAGGATAAGCCATAGTTTGATCACCTACATAATACCAGAAGTTTGCAGTGCAATATATTCCGTCTTAAAGGATATGTATCTGAAACTTCCATCAACATCAGAGGAATGGAAGCAAGTGGCAAGCGACTTTTATAACAGCTGGAATTTTCCAATGTGTATTGGAGCTATGGATGGAAAACGCTTTCTTATGAGGAAACCAGAAAATACAGGATCAGAGTATTATGATTACAAGAGTCGCCATAGTATGATCATGTTAGCTCTTGTTGATGCACATTATAAATTCATGTATGTTGATGTAGGAGCTCAGGAACGCTCAAGTGATGCAGGTGTTTGGGACCGTTGTAAATTAAGAGAATACCTAGAAAAAGAAAAGCTACAAGTTCCACCACCTGATACTTTGCCATTTTCAGATCAGAAAGTTCCATACGTAATTGTTGGAGATGATGCATTCCCCCTCAAAAATTATCTGATGAAACCTTATCCTGGCCAGAACTTAAGTGTTGAACAAAGGATATACAATTACAGACTATCAAGAGCTCGTCGTATTTCTGAATATGCTTTTGGTATCCTTGTTGCCAAATTTAGAGTGTTTGAAAAACCTATTCACTCAAGTCCGGCAAACACTAGGAAAATCATATTTGCAACAGTTGTTCTCCATAATTTCTTGAGAAATAATTCAAGGCAGCTGGAAAATGAAAATATTGGTAATGGTTTAGAAAACCATGGACTTCAAAGCCTGGATAATGTTGGAAGAAGACCTGCTAAGAATGCCTTGGCAACAAGAGATATTTTTAAGGACTACTTCAATGGTAGAGGTCGTGTGAGATGGCAAGAAGATGCAGCACTCTTGAATTAAACAAGTTGGCACTGATGATTTGATGATTATCATTATCAAGTAATAAAATCACATATTGTGTTTCTTTTAATGTACAGTAGAATAAGTTTCATGTTTCAGCTAGTTTTTACGTAAATAGTATAGTATTTTCATATTTGTTGTACATTTCTTTTCTTATAATATATTGCAATATATATGTTATATGTTTTTTTTTTTTTTTTTTTTTTTTTTTTCTATTACACCCTAATCTCAAATGATAAATAATAGTTTTTTTCTGATAACTATGATCATGTAAACTAAATATATATTACATAAACAAAAAAACAGAATTATGAAAAGTTGACCAGCATACAAACACATTTTCTAATATTGATTTAAAACTGTATGTGAAGGAAAAAAAAAAACTTATTAGAAATGAAATTCCAACCTTAATTATTCATTAGTTTTTTTTTTAATTACTGAATTTTCTTTATAAAATGTATCAAGTTATGTATAATAAAACAAAATAATAATCATCTAAACAATTAAAAGGATATGAAAAGAACATCTTACATTTTAAATTTATTTCTCCATTTTCAAAATATATATCTAGATACTATACTATAGATCTTAAACTAAATCTTAACTAATACTAAATGAAAATAAATATATATTACAAAAATAAAAGTAGAAAACTAGAACATGACCAGCATAAAATAAAGGAGGACTTAATATGACTATATACAAATTAAATCATTGGCATAAATCACAGTTTGAAAACATTGCACTTCATGATACTTCATTGATCTTAATTATTGCCTTGCCTTTTCTTTTCTATGGCTTGACACTCTCTGGTTTTTGCTGCAATAAGCTCCATCACTTTTACTGTAAAGTCCATTTTCACCTCTTCATAACTGCTGAAGAACTTCATGGCAGCCATCACAGACTCAGTAACCATGTCATGGCGTGTATTTTTCATGGCCTGCTCTGCACAAACTGCCTGCAAGTTGTCAATGGTCTTCAACATTCCTTCTTCCACTGCATCACTCTTGTTAATTTTCCTCTTCTTTTTTACCAGTTGTGATTTTCTTGTATAACGTATTGGGCTGATCAGGTATTTCTCTGATGATCTCTTCATTAATATCAGGCAGAGGGGAAGGTGTTGCATTTGACGGTATTGAAGTTGGTGATACCGATATATCATAATCCTCAAGATCCTCTATAGGTCCCGCATACAACACCTCTTGCTTCTGTTGTGGTTCCTGAAAGTTAAGCAAAACACTTTTAATTTTTGTATTTAAAACTCAGAGTGATTTTAGTTAATGAACCTTGAATAAAATTTTGTAATATTTACACATAATTTCTTAGCCATACTGTTATGTTTCAATAAGTGTAGTATTTCTTAGAATATAATTGTAGTTATAAACACATTTAGCCAAGCTTACCAAGTCATCAGGGTGTATGAAACTGGATTCTGTAGGGCCCAAATCATATGCAAATTGCATGAATGAGCATGTCTTATAATGCTCCCACTTAATAGGAGTTGTTGCCGCGGAACCACTTGGAGCATTTCTGATTTTCCGTAAAAATATTGGCCGCGAAGGTACTTGAATTTGTCCATTACTTCAACTGCAAATAATAGAGAAAATAGGGAGATTAAAACTTGCAGAGGAATATTCATGCGTAAATAATAACATAACATCATAAATAATATAAATCATGATTTTTTAAATTTAATATTATTCCTATACATCTGTTTTACAAAGGCAAAGGGACACATTGGAGTTTTTTTATTTGTTGTTTATACATGATTCTGGTTATCATGCTCCACATTTTAAACGAAATATCTATTTTGGATTTTGAGATTTTATTAATTGATAATTTATCATATTCAAAGTCCTTAAAATATTACCAAACAATCTTGTGAGTGTATTGTTAGATTACAAGTTGTGACAACTGGGCTAGCCCTTCAGGCATTGCACATTTTTCAATGTAGTCATGGCTATTTGAATATTATAAAATTAGTCAGAATACCAGTGAGCTTATTCTCTGGAAAGCAGTTTGCACTTGTAATTTGTAATTTGTAAAATTATAATAAGCAACTTATAAGAGTAAAGGACAAGATCTTTTTCATTAATTACTTAAAAAAAAAACTAATCTAAAAACAAATACAAATTGTTAATCTCTGATCATATTTTACCTAGCATTTTCTACAAACTCCAAGAGCAATTAACAAATACTTTGCATGAATAATAGCATAATTCCATGCATATAATTTAAATTTCATTATACTAAAGTTAAAATAAATTGATACACCAAATAATGTTTTTCTTACCTGTTGTAATTTCAAATTGAGGATACTTTGTTTTCAGCTCTACACATGTCAAACCGAGTTCGTTTCAGCGTTTTCTTGTGGTAATATGGATATTTTATATTCCAAAGGACATTTTCTTGGCGTACTTTCTCTAAAACAGAGGTAATTGCTTCCGAATTCCACATTCTTACAGAAATATGACGAGATGACATTCTTCCTCTTCGAAAAATATGCGCGCTTGTTTATGTTCGTCCGTCAAATGAGGATACAAGATATATTGCATTGTTTTTCTTTTATTTTTTTAAAATAATAAATAATAGAAGTATATATATGATAATTTACTATTATAATTAATAATTGTAATTTATTTATATATATATTAATTATAATGCATAAATATATAATTAGACTAATGTCATGTCTACTATAGACTCTCAACGAGTATGACTTTTCCACTGGAACATCGATGGATCGACGGGTTGCCCATCGCTTCGGACGAGTAGGCAAAAAAACAGTGGTATGAACCAATCGGTGGGCAAATTCCACTCAAAACGATTAGATTTCATGAATCGATGGCCAGTGTAATCACACCTTTACACTGCCCGATTTTCCACTCTTCGGGCTAAACAGGAATGATACCCAATATCGTTCTTCAGTAGCACTGCAGCAGAACTTCCTTACAACTTGCCATTCCAATGCAAGGAGATGGACTCTGCTTTGCATCCCTGCCATAAGACCGCCCAAGAAAGTGATGATATTAAAAATGGTAAATTTCAGGTTGATATGGCTGCTAGAAAAAGAAAACATGCTAACCCCATATCAATATGGGTTTAGAAAATTTAGATCGACCACAGATGCACTTGAGGATAGAAACTGCTATACAGAATTCCTTCACACAGCGACGTCACGTGTTATCAGTTTTCTTTGACCTTGAAAAGGCTTATGATACCACTTGGAAGCATGGTATACTCATGAAGCTGTATGACATTAGTTTAAGAGGAGCATTACCTACATTCATACAAAGCTTCCTTGCTAACAGGAAGTTTAGAGTGAGGGTGGGAAACAGTTTCTCTAACCTGGAAGATCAGCTGGGAGGGGTCCCACAAGGGAGTGTCTTAAGTGTGACCCTGTTTGCCATTGCTATTAATGACATTGTAAAGGTCGTTCCAAGTGCTGTTTCATGTAGTCTGTATGTGGATGACTTTACACCATACTGCTCAGGAGGAAGCTTACAGGATGTGCAAGGACACATGCAGACTGCAATAAATCGGGTTTCGCAATGGGCAACATACTATGGTTTCAAATTTTCTCCAAGCAAGACCATGGCTATGCATTTCCACAAACGAGGAAAATTCCATCCTTTCCTCTATTCAGGAGCAAACCCTCTGCATTTTGTCCAAGAGATGAAGTACTGAGGAATAATTTTTGACTCAAGGCTCACATGGGTGCCTCACATCAAACAATTAAAGGTGAAAGCTACAAAAGCACTTATTATTTTGCGGGTTCTTTCACACCTTTCTTGGGGTGCGGTTTTACTGAGCACTTGTTCATAGTAAACCTGATTATGAATGTGAGGCTTATTCATCTGCATCTCCAATTGTTCTCTGGATGGTGGACTAGGTTCATATTGAAGCTCTCAGAATCTGTACAGGGGCTTTCAAGTCTTCACCTGTGGAGTCCCTGTATGCTGTCCTCTTTCTTTACACCAGGACTACATAAACCTGCTTTACTACATGCAACTACAAAGGATTCCAGGATCTCTTACATCCAGATTGGTTTTCAGCCCCCTTCATGATAGCCGATCCTATGGTAGGAGAATGAGGAATCTTGTGGAAGATCTTAATTTAAATCTCACAAAGGTTCTGGCTGTTGGAACTTCCCAAGTCCCCCCTTGGACTAATCAAGTCGAGCTTGATCTGGTCGGAATTGGGAAAGGGGAGAGATCCGAAGCAGAAGTCAGAGAGATATTTTTTCAACACACTTCTAAGTAACAGGGATCATATGCAATATATACAGATGGTTCGATATCTGAAAATGGTGTAGGCTTTGCAGCAGTGAGCAGAAGGAAGACTGCATCTGGCAATCTTTCTCGATTAGCCTCGATTTTCACTGCAGTTACATGCCATCCTTGCAGCAGTCAAGATGACTAGAGATCTTTCAAACCATTATATTGTAATAAATTGTGACTCGTAATGCCTTGCAAGCAATCAAGAGCTTATGCTCATCACATCTAATGGTGAGGGAGGTTCAAGAATGGCTTGCAATGATGTCAGCACATAAAAAGATAACTCTGTGTTGGGTGCCAGCACATGTTGGTATCAGTGGGAATGAGCGAGCTGATCGGAAGGCCAAGGCAGCTGCTGCTCAGCCCTGTGATGCTTGTTTTCCTCTCCCACACTGACTGCAAACCCAGCATCAGAAGCTGTCTTCGTGATAATTAGAGGGAACATTGGAGACATACCTCTAGAAACACACTGCAAGAGATTGGAGATGACCTTAGTAGTTGGGTGACCAGCATCCATCCCATCCGACAAGTAGCTGCTGTATTAATAAGGCTGAGAATCTGGCACACAAGACTCCTGGGCCGTTGATGGCTAAAAGTGAAGCATGCTGTGAGAAATGCCACGAGCCATTAACGGTCGCACATGTAGTGGAAAGACATTCTCAGACCAAAGACGTATAAACTGAAAAATGTCTTGGGGGAGGATTGTGACATAGGTCTTATTAG